CTCCCCTGTGAAGCCTTCTGAACCAGAGCTTTTGTTTGCTAGAAGTTTTCTGATTACTGCTTTACTTTCATCAGTTGTTATTCGTCTAGTCAGGTTTTCTGATTCCTCCTGATTCAGTTTTGGGAGATAGTATTTTTCTAGGAATTAGTCCATCTCATTCTCATTGTCCAGCTTGCTGGCAAATAGTTTTTATTCATGGTATTTTCTTACACTCCTGTATTTCTGTGGTTTCAGTTGTTACTTCTCTGCTTTGGTTTCTGATTTTATTTATTTGGGTCCTCTCTCTCTGTTTCTTGATGAGTCTGGCAAACAGTTCATCAATCTTGTTTATTTTTTCAAAGAACCAGCTCTTGGTTTCATTGATTTTTTGTATTGTTTTTTGTAGTCTCTATGTCATCTATTTGTGCTCTAATATTTATTATTTCCTTCTATGTACTCTGGGATTTTCTTATTCTCTAATTCTTCAAGTTGTAAAATTAAATAGTTTATTATTAATTCTTCTTTTTCTTTTTAAGGTAGGCCTGTAGTGCTATGAGTTTTCCTCTCGGGACTGCTTTTGCTGTGTCCCAGAGATTTTGAGTTGTAGTGTGTTAGTTTGTTTTCAGGAAGGTTTTGATTTCTTTCTTGATCTCATTGGTAATCCATTCATTGTTTAATAACATGCTATTTAGCCTCCATGTGTTTGAATGTTTTTGGGTGTTTTTACTATAGTTGATTTCTGATTTCATTCTATTGTCATCAAGAAGATGCTTGATATGATTTCAATCTTCTTGAACTTGTAGAAGCTTGTTTTGTGTCCTAATAGATGTTCTATCTTTGAGAATGACCCATGTGCACTGAGAAGAATGTATATTCTGTAGTTTTTGGTGAAATGTTCTATAAATGTCAGTTTTAATCCATCTGATTCAGTGTGTTATTTTTAATAATCATTTCCTTGTTAATTTTTATCTGGAAGATCTATCCAGTGAAGTCAGTGGGGTGTTAAAGACCCCTACTATAACTGTATTGCTGTTGATCTCTCCCTTAATGTCTTCCAAAAGGTTTTGTTTTGTTTTAAATATATTTAGGTGCTGCTATATTGGGTGCATATATGTTTATCAGGGTTTTATCCTCTTGTTGGATCGATCCCTTTAGTATTTGTAGTGACCTTTGTTGTCTCTTGTGATGGCCTTCATGTTGAAGTCTCTTTTGTCAGATATGAGTATTGCTATCCCAGGTGTGTGTTTTTATATTTCCATTTGTATGGAAAAATTTTTTTCCCCATCCCTTCACACTGATCCTGTGAGTCTCTTGTTCTGAGGAGGGTTTCTTGTAGACAGCATATATTTGAGTCATGTTTTCATATCCATTTAGCTACCCTGTGTCTTTTGATTGGAGCATCTAATTAATTTACATTTAAGGCTATTATTGATAGGTACTTATATATTGCCATTTTCATGCTTTTTAAAAATATATATATTTTATTGATTTTTTTACAGAGAGGAAGGGAGAGGTTTAGAGAGCTTGAAATCTCAATGAGAAAGAAACATCGATCAGCTGCTTCTTGCACAACCCCCACTGGGGATGTGGCCGCAACCAAGGTACATGCCCTTGACTGGAATCAAACCTGGGACCTTTCAGTCCACAGGCTGGTGCTCTATCCACTGAGCCAAACCAGTCAGGGCACCATTTTAATTCTTTATGCCTATGTTTCTATTTGTTCTCATTACAACAGTCCCTTTAGCATTTCCTGCAGTGTTGGTTTGGTGGTGATAAACTTCTTTAGCTTTTTTTGTCTGGGAAGCTCTTTATTTCACCATCTATTTTGAATGATAGCCTTGCTGGATATAGTAATCTTTTTAAAATATATATATATTGATTGATTTTAAAGATGAAGGGAGAGAGAGATAGAAACATCAGTGATGAGAGAGATTATTAATTGATTGGCTGTCTCCTGCCTGCCCCACACTGCGGATCGAGCCCATAACCTGGGCATCTGTCCTGACTGGGAATCCAACTGTGACCTCTGGTTCATAGGTCAATGCTCAACCATTGAGCCATGCTGGCTGGGCTGGATATAGTAATCTTGGTTTCAGATCCTTGGTCTTCATTACCTTGAATACTTCATGCCATTCCCGTCTGGCCTATTATGTTTCTCATGAAAAATCAGCTGACAACCTTATGGTAACTCTTTTGTAGGTAACAAATTGCTTTTCTCATGCTGCCTTTAAGATTCTTTGTGTTTAATTTTTTGGCATTTCAATTATGATGTGTCTGTGTCGGGTGGCTATTTGGCTGTTTCTTGCTTGGAACTCTTTGTGCTGCCTGAACTTGTGTTACTTTTTCTTTCACCTGGTTAGGGAAGTTTTCTGCCATTATTTCTTCAAACACATTCTCTATCCCTTGCTCACTTTCTTCCCTTTCTGGCATTCCTATGATGCAATTATTGTTACATTTCAAGTTGTCCCTCACTTTCCTTAAGCTGTCCTGATTTTTAATTGGTTTTCATTTTGGTCCTCTGATTTTTTTTTCTACCCTATCTTCTAATTCACTGATCCGCTCCTCAGCTTCCCCTAATCTGATGTGTATTCCTTCCAATTTGTTCTTTAATAGTGTTATGTCATTCTTCATTTCTTACTGTTTTTGTCTTACTGTATCTTTTCTCATACTGTTGAGCATCTTTGCCATTCTGAACTCTATATCTGATAAATTTCTTATTTTCATTTCATTTAGCTGTTCTTCTGGAGAATTCTCTTGTTATTTTGTTTGGGTTTGTTTTTCGTCTCCCCATTTTGGCTGCCTGTTTGAGTTCATGTCTGTGTATTAGGTAGACCTGCTACGCCTCCCAACCTCTAGTGCAGGACAGTGTCAGATGCTGTTTCTGATTGGCCCTGAGTACCCTGTTTGGAGCTATCAGCAACCCACAGCTTGTGGCTCCCTCTGCTGCAACTGGGAGCCTTTGGGAAGAAGCAAGATGTGCACCAAGGTCTGCTTTTCCTAGCCCGGGCCCAGCGGAGATAGGCAAAGACTCAAAAGCCTCCAGAGGTCTGCCTCTGCCTGCAGTCTGATTGTTATTCAGTCTTGATTAGCCCCAGGCTATCAACCCTAGCAAGGCATAGACTCCACAGGGTGTGTGGAGAGGTTTTCCAGCAGGGTGGCACAATTGCTTCTCCCATAGGCAAAAGCTGCCTGGGTGGTAATGGTCTGCCAGAGAGAGAATTTCTCTGCAGTATGAGGGAATGACTCAGCACAGGAAATCAGGGTGTCTGTCTTCTGAGGTCTAACCCCAAAGTCCCCAACCCTGACTGCTGCTCATACAGCTCCAGTCCACTCTGCCCTTCCTTTGCTGGAGCCAGGTGAGTGCCTGCACTCAAAATATTGTGTTGGCCCTTTAAGATGCTGCCTGCATTTCCAGCCCAGATAACACCTGGCTGTGATAAGAAGTAGGGTTGTTGTGGCTGGCAGACAACAGCCCTACTTTTATCGGGTGTTATCTGGGCTCTTTTCTTAGTTCTGGTGCTCTGGGCTGGGATCCCAGCTTGGGGATTAGACCTCAGAGTTCTCAGTGGGAACCCCCCACAGCTAAGATACCTTTCCAGAACTTCAGCTGTCTGTCTGTCTGTCTGTCTGTCTGTGGGAGCCCGGCCAGCCCTTTTGCACCTCCGCACTTCCTACCAGTCTCTGTGTGGTCTCCACTTTCTGCCCTTGGTTATCAGGGTTCCCTCCAGCCAGTCTTCAGTTGGTTATTCCGGATGGTTTTTCTGTGTTCTAGTTGTAATTCCAGTTCTGTCCCGGGAGAGCAGAGTGTCAGTGTAGCTTCCACTTGATCCACTGCCCGTTTGGAATCGTCCCTCTTACTGTTTTTGGTGCATCTTTTCACCAGAGGTCCAGTGCTCCTGAATTGGTTTCCCTCACCGTTTTAGCTTTAAGAATCCATATACTTAAGGCCTATGCTTTATTTTAATTATTTTTTATTTTATTTTTAATCCTTCGGTGCACAGCACGATGCTCCAACCAACTGAGCCACACCAGTCAGGGCGGCCTCTGTTTTATTTTAATCTGAGACATTGAAGGGACAGGAATGTTAACCATGAAACCTGCAGTGAACATGTAGTCCAAAGGAGTTGATGTGCTCAGGGAAATTTGATTTTATTTCCTGGACTAGTTGTGGGAACGTTTAACCTTATAGCACTTTGGAGAGTCTCATCCAAGACCATTGGTATATTTTCTGTAGGTTTATATTTTACTTAAAAATGAGACTTTTTAAAAAATCCTTTAGGAGTTGAAGCCAAATCAAAATTGGAGAGAATTATTTAATGAAGTTTCCTTTTAAAAGAGGCAGAACTTATTTGACCTCTTACAATAAAATGTGCTTTCTCAAAGAATTTCGTAAAGCAGTTCTTAAAAAGCGGCTGGCATGCTTTACACAGCATTGGTAGCAGCCTCCAGGTAGCCAGTCTGTTATTTTACCATTTCACATACTCGGAGTAAGAATTGTTAATTGCAGATCATGCCGTCTCTAACATCTGGTATTTGTACAGTTAGCACCCCGCATCGAAAGGAGTTTCTCCATCAAGTTCTGTTCACGGAAGGAGAATTTTTCCTTATCAAAGTATTACTTGTGAACAAATAAAACAAAAGTAGAAATTTAAAATTGTTAATCTTAGCAAAATATACAGATGTAAAACATTTATCTCAATTGCTGTTAGTCATATCAGATCTTATATCTTAACTTGCAGTAAACTGATAGAATTTTTGTTTCAGTTGAATTAATGGTAAGTTAAAGATGTTTGGATTAGGACTGTGAACATGAGAACGTGTGGCTGTGCCACGAGCAGCACCCTGTGCTGGGCAGAGCGGCACTGCCGTCTTCCTCTGCCCACCCTGCCTGCGCCCAGGCTGGCCACACCAGGGAGGCTGCTCAGGCGGCGAGGCCTTAGCCCCCTTGCAGCGAGTCGCTCGGGCCCTGAGCCCAGTGCTGTCCATGGTGACAGCTGTGTGTGATGCTGTCCCTGTTTCAGATAGTAAAGGATGACTGTGAGGATGATGCCCATGTGTTCCGGAAGGCGGCCAATGACATCACATCCCAACTGGAGATTAATTTTGGTAACCTCCCTCGTCCGGGGCGCGGAGCCAGAGGTGGCACACGGGGAGGCCGGGGAAGGATCAGAAGGACAGAGAACTATGGACCCAGAGCAAACGTGGTGGTGAGTATTTGTGTTCTGATCCTGGCGGCTTCCTGAAGAAGCTGAGCGGAGGAGGAGGCCTGGGCTGCAGTCTGATTTTGGAGGGTCAAGGTTCTGTGGTGGGTTCCTCCTCTCTGTGTGGGTCTGATGTGGGTGTTTGGAACGGTGAGGTCAGCACGGCCATCAGTTGGGTACAGACCCTGAAGGTGCGCGTGGAGCAGAACTCACTGCATCAGACCCGACCCCCGGCGTGGGGAACAGATCTCCTCCCTCACCAGGGCCTCAGGGCACATCCTGTACCCGAGCTTCCAGGGCAGACAGGTCCTCTGCAGCCCCCTCTCCGCTCAGAGCCCTTCCCCCTCAGCCAGGCCTGCCCTGCCTCCAGCTTCCGCAGAGTTGCTCCTCACCGCAGGGCCTGCCTGCTTCCCGAGAACAGCTCGGACCTGCCTGCTCCCAGGAGGCTTCTTGGGTCACGTTTCCCTCCAGACCCGTGCACAGTCCTGGAGCACAAGGGTTTGTTTCTTCTCTTTGCAGCATGATCTCCGTTGGTAGCTGTTCTCACGGGTGTGACTGGATTGTGTCGGTGGGCATGTCCACTCTTATCCGTTTCCCCAGGGCCTAGCACCAGTAGGCTTAGAAGGTGCTTCCTGTGTTTAGTGCACAAACCCATGAAAACCTATGTAGTCGGAGTCGGCCTGAGGCCCTGTGGCCAGCGTGGGCCCTGACGACTCTGTGGCTGGCCTCGGAGTCGGAGCCGTTCCTTTTGCTGCCGATTCCCTGGCTCCCGGGAGCAGCCCCTGGAGCGGTGCCTACAGGTGGTTACACCTAAGCAAGAGCAAAACACCTCACAGCTCTTTCTGGTTGCATTTGAGGCCAGGTTGGAAAAGGCTCTGCCCCGAGAATAGAAAATACACAATCTCTCCTTTGCAAGCGGAGCTCCAGCCACCGCGGCGCTTGTCAGGAGCCTGATGTTCTGGAAGCTGCGCCTGCCACTCCCCCGCTGCCCACCTGTGCTCTTCCGCTCAGAACTGCCGCAGGCCCCGCCCCGCAGGCCCCACAGGCCCCGCCCCTCCACGGGAGAACCTGCTCTTCCAGAAAAGCCTTCCCTGACCACGAGGTGTGCTTGGCCACCAAGCTGTATTGGACACCCTCCCGCGGCCCCTCCCGGGGCGTCTGTTACCGAGGTTCCCACACTGTCTTCCCGTCGGTCTCCCTTCACCTTGAGAGCTCCCCCGGGGCCAACTGGGGAACCACCCTATGTCTCCACGTGCTCAGCCTTCTGTCCGTCCACTGGGTGACGGAAGTGCCCGGTAGAAAAAGGGTCACTCAGGAAGGTTTTGTTCGGGGAGGGGGCCACTGCCAGGCACTCAGTAGCTGGACAGCAGGGAGGGTGAGGGAGGGCACCCTCAGCCTGCAGCTCCTGGCGCTGCACTGGGGGCGCCCCGCCTCTGCCCAGCGTGTGGTGAGCGCTGGGAGTGGGAACTGGTGAAATGACAGTTGGTTCCAACACTTTTCTCTTCTAGACACAAGACGTTGCTCCAAACCCGGACGACCCTGAAGACTTTCCTGCTCTGGCGTGACGCTCAGCAGCACCCGGGAAGAGACTTCTTGCTTGGGGAAGAGACTCAGAACAATAGATATTGCTTTCCCCCCCTTGGTGTGAATTCATTGCACTTTGGGGGGATGGGTGGGTGGTGTGGGGAGAGATTTTCCAGGTACGGAGCTCTGTTCCATTCGGGTTTGTCTGGCACTTTCCCACGGAGGAGGAGCGCGGGGTTATATTTTTATTTAAGGACTCACAGGTGAAACAATGTTCAGACTGTGCACAGACTGCCCGTGGGGGCCTCTCAGTCTACTGAGGAGGCGTAGAGACAGGCGGAGGACGCACGCACCGCGGTCAGTAAGGCCGCCGGGTGCAGAGCCCGAAACGGGCCTGCAGTTGACTTGCCTTTGACTAAATGTCCCTCTCCTGGGATTGTGCTGGTTTTCACTTGACCAAACATATTGTGCAGCTCTGGTCACCACTCGGACAGAACCGGGAAGCGTGGCTTTTAATGGCTCCCCCACCTCGTGGAGTCCGCCTGTGTGCACACCCGCACCGCGTTTGGTATCTGAGCACAGCTCGAGTTTGCAAGGTTTTTAGGATGAGTATTAAGGATGTGGTTTTAAAATTCATGTTATTTAACCCGCCAATCAAATGAAAAGGGATCCAGGCGACAGGGCATTGCAACTTAGTATCATCGCTTTTCTCCTTCCAACGTTGTGTGGGAACGGAGGCCTGTGGACAAAAGCCCTGCGGCCCGCCGGCGGGGCCTGTAGGTGCCTGGGGTGTGGTCAGCACCGCACGGGGTCGGGATTCTTCCGTGGATGTTTGGGGTTGGGGCAGCCTCAGAGGTTCAGTAGCTCCCGCAAGGTTTGGGGTCGGTGTAGCGGCTGGGCAGGGGCAGCTGTGGCCGCCGCTGGAAGCTGGGGTGATGCGCCCCACTCGGCTGCAGCCGGGAACGTTTGCCCCTGGATCAGGTTCTGCTCGCCTGCGCTGCTCCACCTGCTGGCTCGGGATTTGGACCAGAGCAATAAGGCTGGTCCTCCCTCCCGACGCGGGTAGTTGCACCGAGACCGAGAGAGAATGTGAGCGAAAGCCCCGCGGAAAAGGCAACAGAATCGGAGCTGACCCCGTGGCCTCGGGACGGGCGGCGGAGGACCTTCCCTGTGGCCTCAGGACGTCACCCCCTTGTCATTACACCCCAGTACAGGGGCCACCGACACGTCCACGTCCGTGTGTCCCTCCCCCTGGAGACGGCGGCGAGGTGACCGTCAGGGTCGGCCCGCGGCAGCGTCCTCCTGGGTGGACGTGAGGCGGTGCTGCGCAGTCACCTTTCCTTTGAAGAGGAGCAACCCCCCTTTTCAGAAGCGCCCCTCGTGTGGTGAAG